AGCAGACTGGAGCGCCTCGTCCCACCCTTTCTTGAAAAATTCTTTGCTGTTTTCCTCAAGAGCGGGGAGCACATCATCGGCAAACTCTTCCAGGAGTTGCTCCTCCGATTTTCTGTTTAGCTCCTCGGCTCTGATCCTGTCCAGCTCCTGGGTGAGAGCCAGACAGTTTTCCTCCGAGCCTACCGCCCTCTCCTCCACAGCAGAAAGTCGCCGCGTCTGCTCGGTTATCCTCCCCTCAGCATCGGCAAGGGCAGCACTTAACTTTTCAGCACCAACCTTTGCCGACTCGGCGTCCTTGAGGAGTTGCTCGATTTGAACAGCCTGCCCCGCCAGGGTAGAATCCCTGGCAGCCACATCCTCCATTGCTCGGGAGAGGACCGCCTCCGCCTCCTCCTTCTGATCTCGGGCCCGCTGGAGGTCCATCCTGGAACCATGGTACCGAGCAGCTATTATGGAGATCTGCTGGGTAGCCTGCAAAGGAGGGAAAAAAGTGTTATCACAAAAATGGAAAGCAAGAGAGAAGAAACCAAAGAAAAGGAACTTACCACCAGGGAATTTTGGATGATGGAGCGGAACAACACGTTCGTTGAACGCCCCCTATGAGCCGCCATGTCAGCCTCGAAATGCAGTGTCTCACTCACTGCATGGGCGACATGAGGATCCAGCAAAATGGAATCGTCGACCCTGATCACTCGGTTCATGTGATCAGTGGCTCGGGGATTCCACTCCGCGGCTTCCACTGTCGGCGGAAGGGAAGGGGAGGCCTGCTGCTACTGTTGTTGCTGTTGTCGTTGCTGTTGCTGCTGCTGCTGTTGTGGAGGAGCAGGGGGTAACCCACGGCCTCTCCCGCTTTGCTGCTGAGCGGGAGGTGCCCTGGATCCTCGGCCGAGCACATCATGCCGATGTTTGACCCTTCTCTCCTCCTCCACTTGAGGATCCCGGTCTCGCACCTGACCCCGACCGGGGACCCTTGCGGATGGGTTGGAACTGGTCCCCGCAGATGAAGTGCCGCCGGTCGATCCTCGACCTCTCCCGGCAGCAAGGGCTTGCCTCTGCCTTAGGAACCCGAGGTCGATGCGAGGAGTGTTGGACATCGCGACCTCAAGCGCGTCCTCGGCGTCCAGAGATTGAAGGACTTGGAAGTCTGGCCACAAGTCTCCCCCCGAAGTCCCCACCTCGGCGTCCGAAGGAACAACGTCCTCTCTGACCCCGAGCTCTTCAGCAACTCCCTCTACCTCTGCCTCCGAAGCCCGATCCGGGTCTTCCTCCAAGTTTTCCTCAACCTCTAACCTCGCCGCCTGATCGAAGAGTTCAGACCACCGCGAAGGATCAAAAGGCTGAGGAAGCTGTGAGAATTTCTTATACCTGGGGGTATAGTTCAGCAGGATATGGGCAGCCCGGCCGAACCCGTCGTCACCAGTAAAGCTCCAAACCGTGACTAGGTCGGCGAAGTTCACCAGCGACCGAGGGGGAGGAGCTGTTTCCCGAGCGGGAATATCTGCACAAACAAAAAAGTTGTCATGAACATAGGAAGTCTGAAGAAAGAAATAAAAAACCCAAGGGAACCGACGTACTTGTCGTTCTCCATTCCAGAGGGCATAACAAGTCATTATACTCGGGACCAACACCTCTCTGCCAAGATCCCTTGAAGATAAGGATATCATCCTTGTACCCCTTGTCCGAGTCGGGAAGATGGGTTACAAGGTACATGGAGGGGTCCCTGGCTTTGAGGTAGAAGTGTTGGTGAGGCATGACTCTCAGGAGGGAGTATCAAAAAAGGAGATCGTTGAGCCCAATATTTACCCCGAGGCGCCTATTGAGCTCTAAAACCCCCATGATTATTCGGAAGACATTAAGGCAACATTGCCCGGGGAAGAGACGGAAATGAGAAAGGAACTGAAGAAGCAAAGGGGGTAAGGGAAACCTAATTCCACCCTCTATTATGGCCTTAGTATAGAAGGGCATGGCGTCCTCGGCCCCGAGGGTAGGCGAATACAACGCCGGGTCAAAATCCTCAATATCTACGCAGGGTGAAATACCGTATTTGACCTTAAACCTACCAATCTGCTCATCACCCTTTACTTTACATTTCCCCGACCCCGAAGGACCAGCCTGAGGGTTCTCGGGAGCAGGGCGACGACGAGGCATCTCTAAAAAAGTAAGAAAGAAGAGGGTATTTGTTCTTGAAAATCCCTGAGGAAGTGTCCCGAAGGTTAAATCGCTGTGTATCAACCGGATGACACTTCCAGTCAATCGGAAAACAAAAAGCTAGGAGGAAGAGAAGAAAGGGGATTCTGAAACTCACCTGAATGTCAAAACGGAGTTTTTTTCTGGGAAACCTTAAAGCGACTCCCTCCAGAAAGTTCAGAATCAAACGGTGGGTCTGCTGGCTTTAAGATCTTAAAGAAGAATGGGCAGTCGACGATGGAAGAAGAAACAAAACTCTGGCGAAGATTCAAGAAGAAGCTCTCTTGAGGAAGTTTGGAATGGCAAAATGAGGAAAACGGAAGAAGAGCCCCCTTTATATAGAGGCAATTTTCATCATTGGGCGCGAAAAACGAAAACGGCGCATTTAATGCACACGACATCCCAAGCCGGGGAAAGCGGCTCGAGACAATAATGAAGTACTGGTGGTTGTTGGGAAACCCTTCGTCTCCTTACAACGCGTGTCCTCGGTGTCAGAAGATCGAAGGCTGGGGGGCAGTTGATGGGACTTTGCTGAAATACCCTATGATGAAGACACGTGTCCTCGGTTTTACTAAAACACTGTTGCTAAGATCAAGCACCATCGGCTCACAAGGCCCTCTCCCCCGAGGTACCCGGCATATAGGATCACGCATTCAGTATGCTTTGCACCGACACGTGGCCTCGGTCTGATACGGTACCTCGGTCGGTGTCCTACCTCGGAGCCGAGGTGACCCTTCCCTCGGTACCGAGGTGTACCGTCCAGGATGGCTCCTCTACTCCAGGATAAGCTACTGACGTACAGGTCATTAGCCTAGACTATTCTAGGCTATTCATCATAACCTCGTCTTACACAAGTAATGTCAGAACGCACTGGAATGCAGAGGTCACAGCCAATAGAGGATGGACGCGTGGCATACGATATCACATCGAAGACAGACAAACCGCATGCCGCTGCTGACACGCGATTTGGGAAAGCAAACAATTAATTGCACCATTCCCTTGATGAGACCGCATTCAATGCGGTAAGGTTCGGAAATGAAAGGCAATAAATGCTCCTATTACAGAGCATTTATTGCATCCTCCCCGAGAGGAGCACATTGTACCGTCGGCATCCCGATGATCCAGTATTGATTGCTCGGGACCCCGAGCAGTTAATCAGAGAAGACATTCCTCATTAGAATCAATGCACACGCTACCTGTGCCTAATGATCACCTACTGGCAACACTGACAACAATCATGAGCTTTTAAGGTATAAATACTCCTTGCAAAAGGCAAAGCGGGGATGCAATCACAAACTCTTTACGACAATACACACTCAGTATTTTCTCCTTCCTCTCTCTCTCTCTCTCACTCAAAGATTGACTAGATCGTCGGAGGGGATACGCCAGAAAACACTCCGGCGCCCTTCTAACTTGTTCTTCTTTGTTCCAGGATCCTCTTGCAGCCTTACAGGATCGTTCTCCAGCTCCCCCAGGGTCTTCCGTTGCCGTTCCAGGTTACCACCGTACCTTGCAGGCTGACCCAAGCAGCGTGTTTGGTCACTCAACCGGCTCACTCAAGTTCATCAAGGGAGAGATCTGTTCTCGTTTTTTATATTGTGCAGGATCTTGCACACACAATAACTTAGTTGGTCAGAGTTGGGTGGTGCCAACATTGCCTAGGCTAGGCGGTTCGGTTGCAACTGCCATTATATAGCTTATATATACACATGTTGGGGTCTGCAGTAACCCAATAGAGTTTGAGCAAGTTTTTATAAGCAGACGCTTAGCCAAAAATCCTTTCATAAGAAAAAGGTTGGATTATTTGGCCAGTAATCTTGTGTGCTTCTCTATGTTTGATGCTTGCCCATATTCTGCTCAATAGAGTGTTTCTATGAGTGATTGTGTGAGTTTGGGTAAGACAAAATATTAGATCTTGATGTCATCACAACGTAAAAACGTTGAGTTAAATTTGACCCCTTTGACACCTACTATCATCATTATCCATGAAAATATCTATGTTGTTTTACGTAATAGGAAAAATGACTCCCTTTTCTTTGAACTACGTGTGGTGTTTGCCCCCACTACGTGTAATAACCATATGATCTGTCAACTTCCTCCATCTTCAATTGCTGATTCAATGAACCAACCGTAATTGATCCAACTTTCCATGCTGGTCATTCTCCATGGTACCAACCAAATCCCATTCTCCCCTTGGCAATGCTTTTTAATGTGTAAGGATATATTACTATTACACTCAAACATTATTCATTATAAGTAAAAATAATGTTATTGAGATATTGACTATTAACTTAATTCAATATAATTATTAAATTAACAATGTACCCTGTTTAACATTAGAACTTATTGTTGATTTAACGACTACAGTGAATTAGATCAATAAATTAAGTTAATTATATGTATTTATAATAATATCATCAATCATATCAATTCTCCTAATCATTAAATCCTTTTATAACTCCAATACTCAATTCCCGTTGGCCAGTGTCTAATCCCACCTGCACTATATATTGCACCGTAACACCATGGAAAAGTGTCTCACTAATCTTTTCCTTCATCAAAAGAAGAAAAAAACAATTAGCTTAGGCCATCCAAAAGGCACACACTTAAACTCCCACCATGGCAGCGGCTAAAACCTCACCACACCGCCATGTTGCGGTGCTTGCTTTCCCATTCGCCACTCACGCTGGTCTCCTCCTATCCTAGGCCTTCTTCGCCAGCTAGCCACCACGGGCCCGACAGTGACATTTTCATTTTTAAGCACAGCCAAATTCAACCGTTCATTATTGTCGGCACCAACCCCGGAAAACATCATGCCCTACGACGTGTTTGGTGCTGTACCTGAGGAGTATGTGTTTGTGGGGAGGCCACAGGAGGACATTGACTTGTATTTCATGTACAAGTAAAGTGTAGTTGCCAATCATGAACTATTTATCTATTGCTGGTGGTTAATATACTTAAATTTCAAAGAGGAAAGTCTATTTCTTACGGTGCTGAGGATGATCTGTTGTAAGGAAACAAGATTTTTGAAATCATTACTAAAAATTCTTATATTTTTTAGTCTAAATGTGTGCGCGCTTGTTTAGGCGGATGTTGAAAGTGGGAGTGGATGAATGGAATTTGGTGAATTTGGGGCAGTGATGGTGGTGGTGTAAACCGTAAAAGATAGTTCAAGTGGTAATAAAGACGAGTTATAAATCCATCCAGGTTCTTGACAACTTCTTACATCCAGGTTATGCGAAATTTATCCATCAAGAATACTCTAGTTTTGGCGTGAATGACTTATTTTGAACCGAATCAGGGAGGAGATTAGTTACGAAACACATAAATTGAGCTGAACACACCCTAATCATTGAACCAAAAAAAAAAATGGAAATGGTTTTTCAGTGGGTAAAGAGATAAGTTTTTTTCAATTTTTGTATACATATTTGGGGGAGTGTACTAGGGAGAAAGTATCCGTAGTGCATGTATAGCTAAGAGGAGTAATATTAGTATTTTAGAAAAAAAAAAACTTCCATAAAATTGATACGTTTTTAGTAATGCTACGTGCACCAAATTTTTTGGACAAAATGATATGGCAACACAACATTTCATCTGCCGTGTAGTAAGAGTCAATGAAATCACTAATCCAACAACTCACATCATGTAGAGCATAAATTTAATACACATACAATTATAAATATTTTATTCCTAATGGATACTTGATGGGTTCGTTTGGTAGACGTATAATGAGGAAATTAAATATTGGATTGTAATATTTTTTATTTAATCGGGTCTAATACTTTATTTGGTAAGTAAATTTGACACCGTATTAATTTAAAAAATATATACTTATCGTATACTTATTATATATTTTTTATACGATAAACCTGTATTATAAAAGTTTTTTAATACTACCAAAATATGTGATATTATAATCTAACTCAAATGTATTATTCTACATATTTATTATTATAATCTTTCAAGTGATAAATTCAAGTTATTATCAATGTAACAAACACTTATTGGAAGTATTTTTGTTAATTCAACATTAACTTTTCTTCCAACTCATCAAAATCGGAAGGAAAGTGAATGAAAAGTTAATTATTTGTGTTGAAATATATCTTATTTGTCTATATATGTTTTGATATATACATATATTATGTATACATTAATTTCATATAAAAATATAATTATAAAATATGTATTTATATATATATATATTTTTTAAAAAATTTTAAAAAATAAAAAATTTAAATTAAAAAAAATATTTTTTCCATCTTAGTTAGGGGTGAAAATTTTTGACTCAACATGATGACACGATTCGAACTCGACACGAATTTTATGATACTAACTTGATTATAACTCGACACAAACTTGAAAATGACTTGACACGCAAACAAAAAATATAAACTGTTCATATTCAGTTCAACCCGTCAAATTCAAAATTGACATCATCAACCTGTTTATTTAAAAAATAAATATTTTCTCTATTTTTTCGTTTGTATGGTAACACAAAATTAACACGAAACTTACATCTTTAACTAATATTATAGACATAAAATGTTAATTATTTGTAACTATTTATTAAGCAATAACATAATTATTATATAAAAAAGATATTTTTACTTATTATTTTTATTATATTTATTTAAGTTAATTTTTAATTTGTAGAAAAAATATGAACATGAATTCAATTAAGTGAAAATATAATATTAGCGTTAAATTTTTTATTCAAAATTTATGTAAGTCAACACGAATACGAACAGGAATATGACATGAAAATAAATAGGTCAACTCGACACGATACTATTAGTTAAATGAGTTGAATTATGTTTAACTAATGTTCAATACAAACTCATAATGACTCAACACAAACCTGACACGATACAGCTCGATTGTCAATCCTAATCTTTGCCAGCACAAAAAAAAAATTAATCATTTTAATTTTTCATCCATCCTACCAAATACAAAGGAAGAAAATTGTATTATTCCTATTTTCCTTCTTTAAAGGAGAAAATATATCTCTCATACTTTCCATCATTTCAACCAAACAGAGCATAAGATTCGGAGGAAAGTTTTTGAAAAATATTATTTGAATTTAATTTAGAAACTTAATTTAGAGATATAATTATAATTATTGAGGATCAATTTAATGTTAAAACTGACAACTAATCCAATAATTAGAACTCTATCTTTAATGGTGTGTTTGGTTGAGTGGATAAAAAAAATGAAAGAATTAAAAGTAAGAGCAATACATCTTTTAAGGGATAAATCTTTTATTCTCTTTCTTATGTTTGGTAGGAGAGATGAAAAATAGAAATAATTATTTTTTTTTCTTTTGTGTTTGGTTGGATGATGGAATGACGAACCAAACATTGATATTGGTGAGTTGAAAATAAACTAATTTATCAACTTTTTCATCCTTCTTATTATTTTTCTTACCAAACACGATCCTTTCAATATTTTATCAATCCAACTTCTTATTGTACCAAACAAAGCAAAAATCTAAGAACCCTTGCTAATTAATAAAATTAGTATATTAGATTCCAAAATTAAGCTCCAAAATTATGTTCTATCAACATTTTCCTTCTACCTGTCCAATGTGAAGCCCACATGCATTATTTAATGCACTACAGCATCATGGAAATGTTCAGAGAAAGATTTAGCTCAGGCCACTAAGAAAATACATACACTCAATTATACCCACCATGTCAAAGACCAAAACTACCCCAAACCGCCACGTTGCGGGTGCTTGCATTCCCATTCGCCTCCCACGCAAGCCTCCTCCTAGGCCTTCTCCGCCGCCTGGCCACTGCGGCCCCGGCGGTGATATTTTCATTCTTCAGCACAGCCAAATCCAACCGTTCATTATTCTCGGCACCAACCCCAGAAAACATCAAACCCTACGACTTGTCTGATGGTGTCCCAGAGGGGTATGTGTTTGTCGGGAGGCCACAGGAGGATATTGACTTGTTCCTCAAGGTGGCGCCGGAAGAGTTCAGGAAAGGTGTGGCGGCGGCTGAGTCGGAGATAGCGAGGAGAGTCAGCTGCGTGGTGGCCGACGCGTTTCTGTGGTTTTCCGGCGTGTTGGCGGAGGAGATGGGTGTTCCATGGGTGCCGCTTTGGCCTTCTGGTGCTTCTTCGCTGTCCATTCATTTTTTCACTGACTTCATCAGGGACACCGTTGGAGTGACCAGTAAGTACTTCACAGTGATTATTTATAGTGTCAGCCCTTAAGTTTTGGTGATATCATAACCTGGCCTCTTGATAGTTAAGATATAATATGAAAACCTCTGATCGAAGTTTTTGTGAAAATCATTCATGAATTCAAAAAAAAAAAATAATAATAATAATAAAATATCAATAAAATTAAAGAGAATTGTGAAATTTAAAACTAATTTTAGCATATATAATATGTAAGATAAACTCAGAGACCGAAACTTATTGAGGGCATATGATCATTTTGTATGCATGTGAATTTATTAAATTCTAACTTGACCTATTTCATTAATTATTTTGAATATTATGATACTAGCTTGACTAGTTTATTAAATCACTAAGTGTTTGGATTTTTACACATAAAGGTTTACTAAAAATCTAAGAGATGACCCATTCTATCAAAGAGAAGAGCCCACCATTTTACTAAAATTGCCCGAACCCACCACTTGAAAACCTCAAAAACTAGAAATCGTATTGGATCAAAAATATGTGCAAAAATCATAAGAATTACTCCAACTTTATAAGAATTCATCTAATACCAGGTCAAGCACAATCGTAACTCGTTTTCGTAGATCACAGTTAGTTCTTCAAAACTCTGTTAAAGAATAGTGCGTTCTTTTTTATTTATTTTTGTAGTTAATCTGACCACTTAGTTTCTGATAATATAAATTCAGGCACTGCAGGACGTGAAGATGAAATCCTTACATTCATTCCTGGATTTTCTGAACTACGCATTGGAGATTTGCCTAGTGGGGTCCTCTCTGGAAACTTAGAATCACCCTTCTCAATCATGCTACACAAAATGGGTCAAATCCTCCCCAAAGCAAAGGCATTGCTCGTAAACTCCTTTGAAGAACTAGACCCCCCCTTAACGAAAGACCTCAAATCAAAGTTCCAAAATTTCCTCAATATTGGCCCCTTCAACGTCATCTCATCACCACCCTCCTCAAATTCCGATGATCACGACTTGTACCTGTGGTTGGACAAGCAAAAACCAACGTCCGTAGTGTATATTAGCTTCGGAACCGTGGCTACGCTGCCGCCACCGGAGCTGAAAGCATTGGCTGAGGCACTTGAAGCAAGTGGTACTCCATTTATTTGGTCACTTAAAGACAGATTAAAAGTTCATTTACCAGAAGGGTTCGTGGAAAGGATGAGAGAGAATGGGAACATAGTGCCATGGGCACCCCAAGTTCAAATATTAGCACATAGTTCAGTTGGGGGTTTTATTAGTCATTGCGGAGCGAACTCAGTGTTGGAGGCTATTCCTGCTGTTGTGCCTATTATTTGCAGGCCTTTTTTTGGGGATCAGCAGCTAAACGCATGGATGGTTGAAAAGGTGTGGAAAATTGGTCTGAGGGTTGAGGGTGGGGTGTTCACAAAAGGTGGTATAGTGACGGCCCTTGACTTGGTTTTGGGTCAGGAAAAAGGGGAGAAATTGAGGGAGCAAATTGGAGTGTTTAGAGAGCTTGCTCTAAAGGCTGTTGGGCCAAATGGGAGCTCAACTAAGAATTTTAAAACTTTGATAGAGGTGATCACAACTAGTAACCTTTAAGGGTATGATCAGATCATCGAGACCCAGATCCTCTTTCACGCTCTTTCTTTGACTTTGTTCAATAGTTTATCACCCATTGTGTTTTGATATGGAATCCACTTATTTTAGGAAATTCAATTTTATTTCATGAGTGATCTAACATTATCAGAATTGAAAAAATATGTATTGAAGAGATCCAATTCCAGATGGCATGGTAGTTATATTGCAAGTAGGGATGAGTGTGAACCGGAAAAAAAGGGATTCATCTAAACCCTTTTAGAGAGTGAACCGGAGAAATTGAGGGAGCAAATTGGAGTGTTTAGAGAGCTTGCTCTAAAGGCTGTTGGGCCAAATGGGAGCTCAACTAAGAATTTTAAAACTTTGATAGAGGTGATCACAACTAGCAACCTTTAAGGGTACGATCAGATCATCGAGACCCAGATCCTCTTTCACGCCCTTTCTTTGACTTTGTTCAATAGTTTATCACCCACTGTGTTTTGATATGGAATCCACTTATTTTAGGAAATTCAATTTTATTTCATGAGTGATCTAACATTATCAGAATTGAAAAAATATGTATTGAAGAGATCCAATTCCAAATGGCATGGTAGTTATATTGCAAGTAGGGATGAGAGTGAACCGGAAAAAAAGGGATTCATCTAAACCCGTCCAATTTGAATTGGAGATGCACTATATGTATTAGATGGTAAACATATATGGAGATATCCATATAAATCCGTACGATGATAAATATGGGGATAGATTGAAATTTATCCCCAATTTGCTAAACCCGTTATATATATATACTAATAATTGTCCGTGCCTGAAGACACTACGTAACAAACAAAAAAATTGCAAACAATTACCCATTCTCTAAAGTATTATATAACACAAAAATCGTCAATAAAAAAGAACTATTGAAAATTGTCACCCAATATAAGCCCATAACTATTTTTAATTTTTTTTCCCTCTAAAGTTCAGAAAAAAGATACAGTAAAAACACATTTTATTGAGTTCCTACAACAATGAGCACTTGTGTGATCACTCAATGATTCCTTTAAAACATACAACTAAAAAAATTACTTAATGCACCTTCTTTGACATTTATGTTTCATGTAAGTTCCAAACTTGGAAATCAATATCTCCATTTTTCTGATATATATCTCCATTTTTTTTGAGCAAGTTGAGTAAAAGCTCCCGTTTCTCAAATTTCTATCGTTTCTTATAGATCCATGGCTCAAGTATGTAAAAGTACATGGGCTTACCATTTTTATAGCGAATTGATGATCAAGTATGGATGCAATCTCATCTTTAGGAGCTGTTTGTTTAGGAACATGAATAATAAGGCCTTGTCATGCGTCTGAATCTAGTGTTGTCGATATCTCCACTTCATCACCCTTAAACTCTGTGACGTCTTCTATGTTGAAAATTGGGCTAATACCAAAATCAGAGAGCAAGTCAACGATATATGCATTTGTACCCAATTTCCTTCTGACTCTAAAAGGGCCTACACGTCGTGCATGTAGCTTGGTAAATTGCTGGGGGAAAAACGTTCTGGTCTTAACCAAATAAGAACCATATTGCCAACTTCGAATTGCCTATCCTTGTGCGTTGTATTTGCGTAGTTTGCATATGCTTCTGTATTAAGGGAAAGGCACCGCTTCACTTCTTCATGAATGTTCATCATATAGCTAGAGAAATCTAGCGCAGCTTCAGTGGGTCTAGTAGGCAAAGGTAACGAATTGAGATCTAGGGGAGTGTGGGGTCAAAATTCGTAGACCACCTCAAACAGTGTGCACCCCATTGACCGATTAACAAAGTTGTGGAAAGCAAACTCTGCCTGTGGTAATACTAGATCCCAACTGGTGACATAATCCACAACGAGGCAACGTAATAAATTTCCCAAACTCCGATTTTTCACTTTGGTGCGGCCGTCTGTTTGAGGGTGGATGGCACTAGATAACATTAGTTTTGTCCCCATTTTTGCACATAACGTTTTCCAAAAAAAACTCACAAATTTTACATCTCGATTGGACACTATGGTGGCTATTACACTATGTAATCGGATCACCTCCTAAAAAATAATGTAGCAATCTTTGAAGCATCATAGGTCTTATGACAAGGAATGAAATGAGACATTTTTGAGAAGCGATCCACTACCACCATAATTGAATCATGTTGGTGGAGAGTCTTAGGCAACCTAAGAACAAAATCCATGCTAACATGCTGCTAAGGTTTGTCCGGAATTGGAAGAAGAGTATAGAGTCCCTCTTGTTGCTTAGTTCCCTTGTTCACCTGACAAATTTGACAACGACCCACCACCTTATGCATATCTCTACGCAACCGTGGCCAATAGAACTGGTTAGTGACAATGGCAAACGTTTTATCATACCCAAAATGTCCTACTAGACCCCCTCCATGGAGTTCTGTGATTATGAAATCATGGATAGATCCATAAGGAATGCACAATCGTGTGCTATAAAATAAATAGCCTTCCCTCAAAGAATAATCACCACCAGATATGCCCAGGTTGGTGGACAAATTACTCCATGTGATTCCAAAGTCCACATCTTTGGCGTATTGCAATTTGAGGCTATCGAAACTTGAAAATTAGGTGAGAAAATATGCAGCAAATGAGGTCTCCTGTTTAACGCATCAGCCACCTTATTTTCAATCCTTGATTTATTCTTAATAACAAAATCTAGCTACTTCAAATAATCCATCCATTGAGCATGCCTAGCATTTAGCTTGCTTTGGGAATTTAGGTTTTTTTTAAAGAATCATGATTAGTATAAAGGATAAACTCTTTATGAATCAAATAAGGACGCCAATGCTTGAGAGTTAGAATTAAAGCATAAAATTCCTTGTCATATACCGAATATTTTCGGTGAGTGTCATTAAGCTTCTCGCTGTAAAATGCAATGGGATGACTTTCTTGGCTCAAAACGCCCCTAATCCCCACATGTGAAGCATCATAAGCCACTTCAAACACCTTATAAAATCTGGCAATTTCAGAACTAGTGCTTGCCCCACCTTTTCTTTGATTTTGGTTAAGGCTTTGTCAACTGTCTTTGTCCAAGAGAAACTCTTTGCCTTTAAACACTTGGTGATTGGGGCCATTATATTGCTGAAACCCCAAATAAAATGCTGATAGAATGTGTACAACCCATGGAAGCTCCGCACCTCAAAGAAATTCTGAGGTATAGGCCATTTTTGAATTGCTTACACCTTGGCGGGGTCAGCTTCAACACCTTAATCAGAAATTATGAAGCCTAAAAGATTGACTCTCTTCTTCATAAATGAGCACTTATCTCGATTTATATAAAGTCTTTCAACCCCCAATTTGTTCAAGACACTGTAAAAATTGGCTAAAAATAAAAATATCATCAAAATATACAACTACAAATTTACCCAAGAATGGTTTGAGTGCTTGTGTCATAACACGCATGAAGGTGCTCGACACATTGGTTAATTCGAAGGGCATGACCACCCATTTGAATTGTCCATCTTTCATTTTGATGGACGTCTTCCACTCGTCACCATGACATATGCGAATTTGGTGGTATTCGCTTCAAAGGTCGATCTTTGTAAAAATGGAGGCACTGCTTAATAAATCCAACATGTCGTCAAGGCGGGGAATGGGAAATCAGTATTTCACTGTTATATTTTTAATTGCCTAGTTCTCTACACACATCCTCCAACTATCGTCCTTCTTGGGCGTAAGTAGAACCGGAACAACGCAGGGACTAAGGCTCTCTCGGATGCCTCCCCTGTCTAGTAACTATTGAATTTCCTAGTAATGCTCTTCATTCTCTGTTGGGCTTATGTGATAATGTGGCAAGTTGGGCTAGGTTGATCATGGAATTAAATCAATAGCATGCCGCAAATCCCGCATTGGTGGAAGTTGTTTTGTCATCTTATCAGACATACTATCTTGAAATTTCTCCAAAAATTTGGCAAACTCCGTGGGAATACAACCACCATCTTGCTTAACCTCATGACTCCCCACCATTAACACCATTTTTTCATCTAATAGAGCTCGAGAGAACTGTCGTATAGTCAACACTGGGATGACTTTTGTTTTTGTCTCAAATTCCTGCAAAGGATCCAAAACAAATTTCGTACCGTTAAAAATAAAAGAATAAGTATTGGCATACCCTTCATAGGAAACCCTCTGATCATAAAGCTATGGTCGCCCCAAAAGCATGTGACAAATAGTCATAGGAATTACATCGCACTAGGCATCGTCCACATATTTCTTTCGCAATGAAAACTTCACCAAACACCGATGCTTTACCAAGACTAAATTATCTTCGTTGACCCAACTAATTTGATAAAGAGTAGGATGTTTTTTTAACTTTCAACCACAATCGCTCTACTGCATCTTTGAAAATCACATTCATGCCACTGCCATTATCGATAATGACATTCAAAGCTCGGCCACCATGTTCCATGCGCGGATGAAAAATATTGGCGTGTAGCCACTCGTGATTAGCCTTAAGATCTTTCTTATTTCCAGTCAACATTCGGTGGGTCACGCAGCTAGATAGATCAATTGCACTCAAATATTCTTCCTCATCATTAGCACCCACGTCAGCTTCCTCCTCCTAAGCTTCTTCGACAGCATCCATTACCGTTAAATCCTTCTTGTAGATGAATGTCATTTTCTTATCTCTTGTAGGGCACACAACAACAAAATGCATGTTACCTGTGTTTTTCCTTTTTGATCTCCTATCACTGCACCCTTGGGTTGCTCGCTTAGCAATGGTGGCTTTTGGAATGAACAATTTACCACACGCCCTAACCTTGGATCCATTGACATCATTAACTTGATCCGAAATGTGTACACCCAAGTGTAGGTGGTCAAGTTGTAGTTATAATCCGGTTATATCCGGAGTCGAATCCACAGGGAACTACTATTAGTGTTTTGAAGTAATTAGTGACAAAGATCAAAGTGACTGATACTTTTGAGATTTGAAGTTATGATGATTATAGAGTTTCCTGGATAGAATTTAAGATTT